AGAGAGAGAGAGAGAGAGAGAGAGAGAGAGAGAGAGAGAGAGAGGCATGCCTCTCTCTCTGAAGAGTAAAGGGTCTCAGGCCCACGACATGCCAGGAGAGGAAGCGAAGAACCTGCGTGAACTGTCCCTCTACACTCTCTCTCTCGCTCTTCTCCACCGCTCCCTAACCCGGCAGTCGTTGGCCATGGCGGCAAGACGGACGCTTGCCCCGCGCCGCGCACCGGGACCGGGGCGCTCCTGCGAAATACAATGTAGACGCACTCCGAGACGCCCTGCCCCGCCCCGCCCCGCCCGCGCGTGCCGCGGGGCCCCGCCCGCCCGGGGCCGGGATGGGGCGTAAGAGGCCCCGAGGGGGGCCGCCGTCGGGACCGTCCTCCTCCTCGCCGGACTGGACCGAACGGGGCGGGGCGCGGGCGGGCCAGCGAGATACATTGTTGTGCGTTGTTAGCTCGCCGGGGCGAAGGGACGCGGCGAAAACCAACAGACACGCCCCACCCCCACCGCACACCACCTCGCCGCGTCGCCTGCCCCGCCCAGCCCCGCCTGACGCGCTCTCCTCTGAGGGGCTGGTGGTGTCCTAGCTCTCTCCTGCCCGCGAGTAGTTGTTTTCCCCCAGAGCGTCGCCCGCGCACCCCTGCCTTGCCCCGCCGGTGCTGGAGGTGTAACGGGCGCCCCGACCCGATAAGGATCATGGCCGCGACGGTCGTCGCGTTGCCGAGGAGTAGATAGTAGGGTCCGGCCGCGAGCAGCTTGATGAGCCGCGGCTTATGGCTCGACGTCGTTTCGCTCTTTTGGTCAGTTTGTCTGCTGTCCGGTCTGCCACACTGTGCGACCGCCCCGCCTCGCCCCGCCATGCCCCTCACTCGGACGCTACGCGCAGGTCGGGCCCGGCGCTCGCTCGCGCCGCTGCCGCTGCAACAATGTTGCAATTGTGTGAGTGTGTGCATGTGGGTCCGTGAGCGTGTGTTGGTGTGTCCTCTGCCGTCGTCCCCATGTGCGTTTGTGTGAGAGAATTTATGCACGTGTGTGTGTGTGTATGCGTGTGTGGTGATTGAGGAATTAAGTCGGGATGACTCCTGT